GACCCCCATGTCCTGGGGCTTCAGCGCATCTTCGCGCTGGAGTTGATGTATCGACATGTCGCCAGCCTGACCGGTCATCTCATTCTTGGTATGTGAGGTAGGCAGGTCGGTAGGGCCATATGTAACTATGCACGTTCACCACGCCGTGTCTACCGTAGCGTAGCGTCCCGTAGCACAAGACACCCGCAGCTTCTTGTGCAGATTTGGCGAACCAATTCCCATAAGTCGTGAAAAGAGGCTTCTGGCAACCTCTCGGCCAACAGTACAGTAGTCCCTCTCCAGTAGCGCCATTTGAAGCTCCCGGTACCGCACCTTTGGTACAGCACATTGCCTGTCGGTTCCGACTGCAACATGGAGAACAGAGGAAAATAAAAACCAGATATCAACAACTAACGTTATTAGTTGCTGTATGTGCGAATACATACCAACAAGCTGGGGAAGCCCGTCAGTAGCTGTGCTGTAAGCGAACAGGGGCGTTGGCACTAAACAAAAATCCATTGATATCACCAGCCCAATGACATGGCCATGTTCGGATGACAAACGAAATGAAGATTTGTGATCATGATAACATGCATTCGGATTGATATACGGATAGGTTCACGTCAACCCCGTAAGTATTCGTTCATTAATTTCTTCTCTTCCAGTGCCTTGCCCCATCAACACTGCAGCTGTGAAAAGAGCGTAGGGTTTAAACCACCAAAATCCACTCGCCGCCTAGACTTTGATATACAGCATACCCGCTTCCAGCAGCTTGCATGTCTGGTGTTGACGCTGGGGCCCTCATAACTCACATGCGCTATTGTTGCATTTGGGACTACATCTTTGCACTAGAGCGCTGTACGTAACGCGTTAGGGCATCAGACTTGTTGAGGGTTCACAGGCTGAAACCATTCGACTCTCTGAGCTTTGTGGAATGCTTACACCATTCTTTGCTGATCTGCAAGCGGTCTGCTAAGCAAACTGCAGCACTCTCTGCACTCTGCAACACCATACCATGTATGTACAGTACTTTGCTAGACTGATCGGATCGGTTGGCGTGCAACAGGCATCGGGAGCGAGACACAACCGATTGACAGTAAAACGGCGGTTTTGAGGCGTTGTATGATGACTCAAGCCGGGATCAAATCTCCATTCTTAAGACCTTGCTCGAATCATCATACCTGGAATATGTTTTCCACCACTGCAGCGATCCGTACGGATTCCGCCGGTGGCTTGCCCGCCACGAGCGTCTCTTGTGCAACCATAAGAGGCGAGCGTCGCCTGGGTCGACGCCTCATTGCAAATCACGGGGTTTGAGAGCATTGAGAGCATTGCCTCGCCAGCGCCAGAATCCTTAGTCCATCCAAAAGCGCTTTGTCGGCGGCAATGGACCTTAGCAGACGCCTAGAAAGGAATGCTTACTTGGTAGATTTGCGCGAAAAGCCTTTTGCTGTCCGTCCATAGATGAGACAGGTTTGCACTACATACGAAGTACTGAGTACTGTACACAGATTCCCGTCGATGAGAAACCAAGCGCCGGACTGCTGCATGCTGGCATGAACCGGGATGTCAGACCGGGACAGCCACAGGTAATGGCACAGTAGAATGGAGGCAAGCCCCGGTCAAATGTGACCTATAATTCAGCGAATAATTAGTAAAAGGGGGAAATGTCTGGGAAAAGTTGTGCTGTGCTGTGTTGTCCCTATCTTTGTTCATCTCCATCATTCATTCCATCTGGGCTTTTGGGTAATAATCTTCCCTCTCACATGGTGAACCAGTGAGTGGCTGCTGAGCCGCGGGCGTGTGCATGGTTGTCTCACCTCCCACAGTCAATCAGTTCTCAGCCGGCCCCTTGAATGCGCGTGGCTCCAGGGATTCTATTCATCATGCTAGGCTGTTTTCGGCTGGCAAACTTCCCTGTAGCCATGCTCAGTGCCTCCATCCACCGCATCACGTTGCTGCCATGCGATCAAAGCGCCCAAGTTTCTGTGCATGCAACCATGTCGCGGCTGGGCGTGGCTGCCCCTTACTCTGCCCCACGCGGCCTCTTTCACCAGGAAGTGCTTCCAAATTGCATCGGAGCGAAGCTATGCCAGAGTTATTCCACCTCATTTGATGGGCATGCTGCAAACTCTCCAAGTCTATACGTAAATTGTGAGCCATTGGCTTATTCCTACGCTGGTCTTCAGATTAGTGACAGGGTTTTGTGTCTGCCGTCGGTTCTGAGTGTGGGATGCTGATTGCTTGTTCGTCTTACCAGGAACCGTCAATCACCTTGAATAGAGGTGGCACTGAAACACACTTTTGAAACGACCTGGAGATGCCCGAATGAATCAAACACCAGATTTGTCTTGACGCATGAATTTGGCCTTGCCAGCGTCCCAGAATTGATACTCCGATTACTTCCTTGATATCTACCTGTCGTTGTTTTTGTTGCCGCTGCCATGTCATGCTCAAGCGTGGTAGCTTGATTCCCTGACTCTTAGAATCTGTAATTTTGCGCCTCATTAGTCCGGCATTCAGGGCTCTCGCAAATTGGCCAGATTCTGGTTAAAGTGAAAAGACTGGTGGTTGCAAATCGTGGCTAACGAACGCCATAGATCGCTCTGACCTCGTTCTGGCCTCTGTAGTGGATAGTGTGTGTGTCTCCGTCGGAGAGAGATTATTAGAGTGTCGCTGAACCTCATTAGTCTACCACCATGCTTCCCAAGAGCTAGAGCTAGAGCCATCCATTGGCGAGTGTGTCAGGAAGGTTGTCAGAAGGATCACTGCGGTGTGCGGTGCAGTCGTGTAGGTGTATGTAGCACTCAGCCTTGGTTGGACTGCTGCTCCAGATTACCCCAAAGCACTACTGAGTAATTGATGCTGGGTTCAACGGGCAGGGCGGATGTGCTAGCCCAGCCGCATCTCACACGAAGCCTGCTGCTGTCAGTATCTAAATTATCCATCTCGGCTCTGTGCTCACGTCACGCTCGGTTCACGTCCCAGCTTAGAAGAACGCCAGTGGATTTGTCTATGCCGAAGCGAAATTGTGATTCGCAGCACCGCGGCTTCTTTGGCTCCGAACTCACTCCTTCTAGAAGGTTTCTGGAAACTCGTCTCCGGGGCAGGGACCAGGGTCTTTGGATCTTGACTGGCTGAGCAATTCAACTCGACTCAAAGTTCCGTCCAAGGAGCCAAGCAATCTGTCGCCGATGAAAAGCGTCTCGGTCGTCTTGCCGTTAGATCAGCTGATCTCCTCTTCCGACGCAACCTTGGACAAAAAGAGATACGTATCCGCAATCTTCAGCACTCGTAAGCTTAGTATGGATCAAGGTGAAGCTTGGAGGGACTGAGGCTCAGGTTTCAGAAATAGACTGCCTAATGGAGAGAAAGAACGGGCGACCAACAAGGAAGCCAAAGATCCTGGTAACTTCCTAGCTTCAGACTAACGTTAGTTCAGGGAAGGAGTACGGAGTAAGTAAAGCATTGGAATCTGTGAGTGAATGTCTGTCTGACTGTTCGAGACACCCCATTTATTGGAAGGAGGCTAAAAACCGACAAGATATGATTAGAGAAGGAACACGACAACACCATCAATTCACAACCGCGGCTTCCGATTGCGCCTCTTGGGGATAAGATATCTATATTTGTCCTTTATCTCCGTGTTAGTCTGTTTGATACATTCCTTCGCTCGGGTACATCTACCGTTTACAATGCTGACTCTTAGAGTGTCACTTATTCAAGCCCAGTACAGGGGCTAGAGGGGTAATGACTAGGTAGGCACATCTCAGTGGCACGGTTATCGTTAACCGTTAACCGATCCTGTCTGGCCTGTCTACGGAGTATCAAGCCTCATCAACGTTGGATTGAATCGTCAAAATTCGATGGTGTTGAGGTGACCTGCACGTTGATGTCACTGCCTGATCGATCTACCTACTACCTATGCTGAATCGATAGCAACAGTGTCAATTTTCAAAGGTACCTACCTATGTAGACAAGGAGCCAAGAAACTCTGCATGTCTTTCCCACCTCACATATCACAGTGACTTTATGTATAAGCAGGCAGGATATTGTTATGCAAGATAAGGTATGTTTCGGGGACTTCTCATCATCCACACGTAACTACACAAGTGTTGCGAAACCCTGGACGATAACAAGCAATCCAAACCATGGGTGGGTGAGCCGGGGCAGCTGTCAGAGTGGGAATAGTCGGGTTTGATGACCAGTCAATCTGGCAGATGAGGATCAATCCTCATGGCGTTCACCATCCTTACACCGCAACGTAACTGAAGACGAGGGCTGACGAAAAGGCCAGCCAATCCGTTTCCCTATCACAAAGTCACCTGAGCCACGATCACCAAATTCAATTCATGGCTCATTTGTGAGCGCGGCGGGTATAAACTGGGGACGCAGGGTTCGAGTTGATCGGGGCACCATCCACAACTCTCAAGTGTCTTGGTGTGATTGTGACTGTGACTGGTCACCTTTCCAACCATGTCGGCATTCCCACGTGGCTCCATGACTGAGCTTGTCGTGCCGTACAAGGAATCCGCTGCACGTAAAACTGCCATACAGATACGAAGCAATGGGTCCCCTCCTTCGCTTCGAAACACCGCCTCTCAAATGCGTACGGAGGACACGACAGTGCAACTCCGCTTTATTGTTTCTATTCTGTGGATATATGATCTGATCAAATAGGCACTTGCTGAGTCTGGAACAGCGGTATGGGACAGCAAGGCCTGCAAGGCTATCAATATCCCTGACAAAACATGACGCGGTTACGCGCGCATTTCACACGTTTGTCAGCGATCAGCGCCATCTGAGTCCAGTACCGGAGAGGAGGTAATGAAGTGGCGGTATTGACGATTTGCAGATCCCCAGTTGAAGAAGCAACGACACCAAGAACAAAGCAAAGAAAAGCAAAAAAGAAGAGGGTGTGAGGCGTGATTTTAGCAGTATTACCTGGTTGGTTCTGGCGGGGTCCGCCACGTGGGTTTAGAGGGAGCCACGCGTTTGTGACAACCAAGCTGTGGAGTCGCTTAGGCATCTTTCTGAGTTCTCCCTCTCTTCACTGTAACCTACATACGTTCTAGGTCTCATATCAGCCCAAAAATCCCGGAGACTTGTCACGGCAGTTCAAGCGAGGCTCTTCAACTCACCAATTGTACCGGTACTAGTCGACGCTCAGGCAAGGCGTCGCCGTTGATTTGCCTCTCTTTTTCTTCTAGACCCTCGCTATCCGAGAGTCTGCCGACGTCAAAGCTGCTTGTGCCACCGCGCGATCCACTACAGCTCTTCAAGCTTCGGGAGGACTTCTCGTTGGTTGGCCTTGCCTGGGCGGATTGTTTTGGTCATTGAGAACGATTGGTTATCAGCAAGATGGACAAGCCGCTATGTGGAAGACGTGCATGAAAGGCTTAGACTGTAGGCGGGCGGTTCGATTCGACGTTTTCAACCCAAAGTCTTGTTGCGGTTCTACATTGAGCCATGGGCCATAATGAAACGCCCTGCAACTCCAAATTGAGCACCACATGACACATCATTCCTCGGTGGAAGTTTGGTCGTCAGACTTGTCCACGATCCCTTAGTCAAAGTTTCACATGTACCGAACATCCCGTACTTACGGACTCTGCAGAGCCCGGACACATGGGTACATAGATGATAAACAAAGCGCCCAATCCGGTCAACAAAACATTCAGCCCTCTCGTGGAGTCACGAAACTTGTGTATCATGAGCATTGTTTCGCCAGATCCTCCTACGTACCAACAACATTCGCGAAAATCCAAAATCTGCAGGGTTCCAAATCAATCTGATTCGGTCCCCCTGTTCATGCTGCTTTTTTAAAGTTGCCACGCGAGAGGGTACAATGTACTTTGCCATGTGCCTCGCACGAGGTAAGCGATCACGGAACAGATCCGTCTAACCATTCCGGGATGACGATATCCACAAAATCTGCAGACAATCCCGTCCTGTTCAAAACCTCAGATCAGACAACCAACAGTTTCGGTCCCGTCACTTAGACCAGAGGCTCTGACTCGATATCCTAGCTTAGCTGCGGATACAGCTGCCCGAGGGATGCTCTCTCATAGCAGATTAACGGTCACGTGTGGCCGCAAGTCTGAGCTTCCAGCACGATTCATGCTCATGCCTACAGCCTTACCGTTATCCTGGTTCGCCTACAAAGACAACGGCCTTGTACGATCGCCAACTAGACAGCTAGTAGTCCTACTGGCGCGGGCTCCTGTGGTACGGCACTTGATGATTACGAAAATGTCGGCATTGTGGTAGACCCTTCATATCGGCACTGAGTACAGGGTTAGGCACGGCGAACCCCGAACTCCAGTGCAAGCGTAACTATATCATATCTATTATATGGTCCCTCCACCGGATATGAAAACGAGCAAGGTCAGGCTGCGGAGGTACATACGAGCTTCTACTCTGTAGTCGGCGAACTAATTATGACCAGCACGGCAGGCTAGGGTACGCCCTTGTAGAGTGAGGCCTGGCCATCAACCAGCCCTGCGACAGCAGTACGCGGCTAGCGGGCGATCTGGTAGACGGGAGCCAACATTCGGGATTGATTTTCCAGGTCCTCAATGGCATCTTGGCTTGATGGTACGCGTATCATCATATCATGGTATACAGGATATGCAGTCGACAGATATATCGCTGTAGGGCGCTAGAGGTTGTATTTCTCCGCCGTGTGATCCAACTCGTGTGAATGGTTGCTTCAAACAAACATGCAGCAAGTGCCCCTATTTCCTGGGCTGAAATCCGTGCTCAACCTCTTTTCCAAGCGTACTATCCACCAAGTCCACCCACCGCGGGAATCCATCGTGCGATTCCACTCACTAGAAACCGTCGGCCGCCAAGTGGACAATGCTTGGGCGCCATCTCTCTTAAACCACGGAGCATTTCCTATTCAACATGCTGAATACTACCTTATATGCGGTGAGCAAGAATGAAGTTATCTGAGGTTTATCGCGGCTGTGCTCACTGAAAGAGCTTCGACTCCTGCGTCGTGGCTAAGACCTCATTACGCTACTTGTTATCATTGCCCCAGGACACAAATGGCCAAATACGCGCTGGCATGTTCAAATTTGACTACCAGCGGGATGAAATCGCTAGGGCTTGACTCAAGTGCGCCTAGTGACCACCTGATACGTAGCTCTGAACAGGTTTTCGTACGAGTTTATGACAATCTCCCAGTCTGACAGCCCGGGAATATCTTGGACCTAACAAAAACGACTGACTCGTGTGCTGCACCTCTTGACCTCCGCAGACTCGTCAGCAGCAAGTTCTGTGTGGGGAGCACTCTATAAGGAATAAACTGAAGGTTTTTAGATCAAGATTGGTCGCCCAGGTTCAAGCTCGACATTGGATAGAAGCTCTGGACCAAGAGGTTTTGCCTTGGGGGTGTGCAGTGTCGATCGACAAGGTCAAGCCCTACTTGCCGCTACATACTGACACAGACAAGTCGCTGTCATGTAGCTACTGGGGTCTTTGTTGCGGGCGTAGATACGGTAGTTTCTGCAACCTTTCCAGCCTGTAGGATCTGTGCAAATCGATATGTCGTGACTGGCCTCGCGATGCGGGCTATAGCGTTGACTAGAGAAGCATGTGTGTGCAGTTGATATATGACCGTCCACTCGGATATTATGGAGGACGTAAACTATTGGAAGGGTGCAGTTTCGTGCCGGCAAGTCGATGCTGCTCCTTGGGTATCAACGTCGATCATGAGGGTAGATTTTGGCATCGCGGAGTCGGAGACGTGAAAACGACATCTATATGCCGCTGACACAACAGTAGCAACAGGGTAACGTCTGACTTCAGAATGAGAACACTTCAACACTTGCTGATGCAGTGCTAACACCCGCTGTAAAAACGAAATATCAATTGACCTGGGTTCTGAAATCCTGTATGCCACTCGCCACAGATTGCACAACTAGACTAGATAAAGATGTCTACATAGCAAGAAACCGTTCTAACGCCATCGCTTTCGATCCCCTGTACCTCGCCACCCTGGGGGCATGTTCGGTACAGACGGGAATGCAAGTCCCTTCTCTCCCATTTGGACGACAGCTCCATTATGTGAAGCAACCATCCCCAGGGAGCCTTGTGTTTTTAGCAATACTTCATGTACAATAGAAATGTGAGTCCTTCGACTATATCGATGAGGGCGCCCTGTCCTTTTTCCAGCCCCTGTATCGCATGTTCTCTTCAATGGCCCTCCAGATCTGCTCCACGATCTCCTTATCACGGAATCGCGAAGCATCATGGCCCTCTCCTCGCCATCGGTCAATACCAGTGGACAGAACGCGGTGACCCCAGTTACGGATGTTATCCGGAGCTGACTCTCCTCGCCAACCGACATAGATGCCCAGCGTATGCTTGAAGAGCTCGTTGGGGTCACTCCACTTGTAGTTCTTGAACTGCCAAGTCTGGCCAGTGGTGAGAACTGCCACGATTCTGTTCCAGTACTCAGGCTTGAACGCTTCAGGGCCCTCTACAAGAATGAAACGCATTGGGCGATTTGGGTCAATGGAGGGGATGATGCGCTGCACATGAAGCATGTTGCTCATCGCACCACCTGCATCAGTAGGCACAAACTTGCCGTCCTCAAGGAACGATCGAGCATTCGATAGGCGAAGCAAAGAAGAGGCAGAGGGAGATAGGAGAATAATAGGGTCTGGTCGTCTTGTAGGAGGTTTTTGGTTAAGAGCGAGTGATGGGTTAGTAGGGATGCTGGAGCTAGACTGGTATTTCTTCTGGATGAAAGGCGCAGCAAGTTTGCGAACATGGGAGAAGTCCTAGCGAGGTCAGAAAACTCAGGAATTTCTCAGGTTGCAAAGACTTACCGTAGGTTTGATGCCCCTTAGAACGGTGTTGCGATCGCCCATCTTTCGTTCGCTATTGTATATACCAGCCAGTCTCGGGTCCATGGTACCACGACCAGATCGCGACTGAGCAGTTGAAGCCACTGCGCCCGTCTTCGCAGCTGCGGTCGCGCCAGCAGCCGCCGCATCTTTATCACTAGGTAAAGGCTTGATGTACTCGCTCTCCTCGCTAGCACCCTCAAGCCAGGTAATCAGATCCAGACGCTCAATGAAACCCAAATTTTGAACCTTTCCCGAGCCACCAGCGGCTGCCAGTTCTTCATTGAGCTTTGTCGCAGAAGCATTGTATTCAGGGATAGCGACTTCGCGGTTCAGCCAAGCAAAGTAGATACTGCGCAAGTCTACGGGCTTGTCTTGCGACACAAAGCGCGTCGGGTTGTCGATAGGAACAGCAACATCCCGATCGGGGAATCGCAAGTACGTCGCCTGGGATAGAGGAACTTCGGTCGCAGTAGCATCGGCTGATGCCGTGGGGATGAAGGGCGCGTTGGAGGAGATGGATTGGCGAAGGAGGACGAGTCCGTCGAGGTCGGCGGCGGACGCCATGATGAAGATGGACGCGCGGGAATAGGGAGCACGGCTGAAGGAGACTCTATGTATTTGTGCCGATCAATAAACACCAATTGATGAGTACCAGAACCTAGATGTTTCGCGATTCGAGAGTCTGACGTGTTTGTTGGTGGTGGAGCTTTGATGAAGTGAAGATGAAAGGCTGAGGCTGAGGCTGCGCCTGGAATTTTGACAAGCTCACTTAGCTTCACCTATGCCGTGCTGTCATTGGTCGAGCCAGAAAGTAGCCAATCAACGATGTATAACTTTATCTTCAACTTCAACTTCAATTGACAGCAGAGTCAACACCAATCCACGTTCTGTAGAATGATGCGACTGGACGCCCGGTGTTTTGCATTGCAATGCACCAAGCAGATCATGTTCCTGGTGGTGTTGACGTTGATCCGTTATTACCGTCATACCCGGGCTTGACTCGACTAGGTACTCGACTGCTCTAGGGTAAATTACTCGGGGAGTATTGCTAGTTAGAACGCTATTGAGCAACATTTCCTGTGACTGTACAGTAGTATTGAATGTCACCTACTACGTAGCAATTCGTCTATGCATGTTTGGCGTGCTTACTGTGCATAGAAATGTTTCAATTGGTAAGTCATCATGTTTCTCTTGGGTAACTTGTAACTCTGTTTTAACTGCCGGTATAGCCACAACACCACGAAGATGCAGCTAGAGAACTTGCATGTAAGACACGTCATAGAGTGCATAGCAGTGTTTCCTTCGTTGGAGAGATATGCAAAAGAAGTCTATCATATTGTCAATACCGTCTAGACTTGCCAATTCATGGATAGCCCCCCTCCATCTTCTCGTACTTGACCCCAGTCTCCAACGTCTGAGCACAAATCCTCTAAAACCCAGGGATCAAATACACTAATCCTTGACGGATAACTTACTTAAAACCCCCATGCCCAACTCACTCAAAGTACAGATACTTACTATCAATCTACCCCCAACTTCTAGAAGCCGTCGCCCAACCATGATTTCTAGTCCGCATCTAGCCATACACCAGCACTTTGGCGCCACGACTACCCTTCACGCCCCATCCATCTCGACTCTGCACAGCCAGAATATGACATCGGAGACCCTTGTGAGCCTGGCGCGTGCGGGCGAGCTATAACCATACACTGCGATCCCTCACCCGGGACATGCGTTAGCCTTCTCAACGGCGTTAAGCCAGTTCGTGCAGATCACTTACTCGCCCCGGCTGTTTGGTCTGGTGAACTCCTAGCCCGATGAGTAATACGACGACATACCACACTCAGAGGGCGTCGGGTTCCCAGATCTAGTAAGAGTATGAGAAAAGGGGCGCTACATAACGAATTACACCACAAAGATACCACGGAGGCCGCCGCCTCATCTTATAGCGCGTGGCAAAGGCACCGCCATGAAACAGCAAAAGAGCCTTTGTTCACGGATATTGAATGGGAATAGACATATTTCCACACGTGAAAACCTTGCTCATAAAGCCACAAGGTATTGTACTTCTTGTTGTATGTACACCGAGCCGTATGCCCCTATTCGACTTCATCCAAGACCTATTCCAAAAGATGTGTGCAATTCCGCTTCCATTCCGCGCAATGACTCCGTCAACGCCAAATCAATCCTGACCTCCAATGGTTCCGTAGTACTCAAATACATCTATATGCCAAAGACAAGCTTCATGCGCTCATACGTGTAGAATGCGACCGCCGCCATTGGGAACACCTTGACGTATCCAATGGTGAGGCCAACAAAGAACCCGGGAACACCCCTCTCTCGGAAGATCATACCAGCGGTTTCTCCTATCCTCAGTCGACGACCGTCACCAACGGCACCGCCAACTTGCATCCGTCGTCGAATGACTTCAAGAGGGTATGATGCTGTTTGAGAGATCAAACCGGCGATTCCACCAGCAGTGAGCTCCGCCCACGATCGAAGAGGGGCTGGCTTTCCTTCAGGGTGGTTTGCCTTCTTCGGTAGTGTCGTGTGCTTCGCAAAACGTGGCGATCGGAGGATATCACCAACAGTATCGTGGGTTAAGAAAGACATGCCCGCGTATGGAAGCATGCCCATGACAGTGGGAGCGAAACCTCGGTAAAAGTTGATTAGTCCTGTTTGAGGAGCAATGGCCCCAACTGTCGCTGCTGTCGCTTCTGCAGCAGCAGTTACCGTCGCAGGCGCATTGGGGAGCCGTGTGGCGGTTGTTTTCTGAACCGGTTGCTCGTTGTAAATCTGACGACATATTGATGACAAAGAAGAGTGGCCGTCACGTTTAGTCTCGAAAGCAAGTCGTACTCTCATAACTTCTAAAGGATATGTGAAAAAGACGGAGGTGACACCAGCCAAACTTCCACTGAGCAGTCTTCTCATTGGTGTCTCATGGTGTTTATCGGGGATAATAATGGCTCGTATTTGTTCGTATGCGAGGAATTTGATACCGGCGTAAGGAAAGATTCGTAGTAAAGTCGCTGAGTGTCCACGGTAAAGTCCAGTGATGCCTTCATATCTATGGATGTCCTTCATAGCGCTTGCGACACCAACCCATGATCCTGTATATTTTGCGAATCGTGGATTGCTGGCCTGGAAGAGGATCTTCACTCGGTCCAATGGTGCGACGACAGTTTTGCCCTATTTCCAACAGTCAGAAACTTCTGGACACCTCTGTCTTCGACTCTGACAAACTTACAGCGCAGCCAGCTAAACCACCCGCAACTCCGGATTTCCAGACATATTCGAAGCTGTTCATTTGTGCCTTTGGTGCTACTGCTTCCTGGTCGGTAGGACACACAGGAGGCTCCTTTGGCGACTTGCTGAGGGTATGAGAAGAGACATGGCTCTGAATGTTTCTATTGCGCGCAACATCGGCCATTGAGGTATGCTCCATCTGAGCAGCGTCGGCAGAGGACATGGCCCCGAGGCTCACAGAAGCACGTGCCTGACCTTGTTGAACGGATTCGAGGCCTACGGGCGCGACATGCCGTGGCAGAGTCGAATGGGGATCGGTATTCGAAGCCAACGCGACTGAGGTATTTCGGTTTCGGTGGTATCTTGTCAAAAGGTTGGAGGAGTAGAAACCGGTTTTGCGGGGAGGATGAAGAAGTTCGGATATGGGGAGGATTTTGGAGATGATACCGGCATGCGGCGCGGCAGAGTTTCCCCGGTCAGAGGCGGCTTGGACGTCATTAAACCGACGCTCAGTGGGCGAATACAGGCCCCCACTAGTTGTTTTTTTTACAAGTGAATGACCTAACGAAGGTGGTCACGCCCGCGGAAATGGAGATCCCCCAGAACCCTAGAAAAATAGAGGAATTAGGCCATCAGGGGTTCAAGACTTGTCACTTCAGTGGGTTAATGCGCTGATGATCCACTGAAAACTTGTCGTTTCTCAGCAGATTCACAGGGCAGAGCATAGCGAGGCTTAACGGTCCCGGTGATCAATAACCGAGCCGAGGTTTGCCGACCATCGCCGCGAATTCATTCTTTCAACCGCGGGTCAAGCAAAGGCCAATCCAGGTGGAAGAATAGCCATCCGAGTCAGCTATGGAGGCCAACGACCACAGAAAGTCCTCTGTTCTCTTTGAGAGCCCGGATAAGAGCCTCATTGTTCTAGACATCCCTACGTCTCTAGAAGAGAGCCAGGTTCTCCCGTCTCAGGTCCCCCGCCGCCGCATCGTCTCCGCATCGCCCCCCGCAACTCCGTATGAGCCCCGGCATGGAGGAGGCGATCATTCGGCATTTGCGACTGCGTCTCCTGGCGCGCAGTTGGCTGAACTCATGACCGCTGAAACGGTCAGCAGCGCCTTGCAGGACCTTGCCAGCACATACTCATATTCTGGACCTTTCCATCAGGACCGGCTGGTTCAGCCACAACAAGCACCGTCAGTATCCGCTCTGCCGCCTTTGATACCAGACAAAGCCGAATTTCTTGATGGCTCTATTGAGGCCATGCGTGATACCTTTCACATGTCAGCTCCCAAGTTTGATCTTGTTGTGTTAGATCCTCCATGGCCAAATCGATCTGCCAGGAGAAAGACAGACAAGTATGCTACTGTATCAAATCTCAAGGAGATGCGCAACCTCTTGCTACACATTCCTCTAGCTTCTCATCTTGCACCAGATGGACTAGTTGCCGTCTGGGTCACTAATAAGCACAGCATTCACGACTTTTTGACTTCCCCAACAGGGCTGTTCGCTACTTGGGGTCTCGAGTTTGTGACTGAATGGACATGGCTCAAGGTTGCTGCGTCAGGTGAACCAGTCTACGACATTGAGTCAACATGGAGGAAGCCATGGGAAAAGCTCATCATAGCGAAGCGCATCGGAAGCCAGAAGCCAGAAGCTCTTGAGTCCAAAGTCATCGTGGCAATCCCTGATGTCCACTCACGAAAGCCCAACCTGCGAGGTCTCTTTCAAGATGTCACCGGCAAGGATTGTCTTGGCCTCGAGATCTTTGCTCGTAACTTGACTGCTGGTTGGTGGGCTTGGGGGAATCAAGTTTTGCGCTTTCAACAGCCCGAACATTGGCATGACATAGAACCGTGAACCATGAGACAAAGAAGATACGAGTTTTCAGCGTCTATATTTGCGCTCATAGTCTTTAACCCGCCTGCATGCATTGCCCATCCAAGACTAGTTACAATAATGTACAATTGTGATGCCCGCTTATCCTACAGAGACCCATCACCCGTGGCTCCTCATAGAATTGCCGCCTCTTTCATTAGCAGCTTCCCGCAGTTTCAAGTCGTAATTCGCCTTTCGTAGTCGTTTAAGCTTCATTTGCGTCCTTCTTAACCTCTACTTCCTCCTTGTTCAGTATCTTCTCCCATTTAGGATCCAAGATAACATCGTTAGTCCACTTCTCCTCTCCCGATAACAGCTTTTGTGCCATCTTGGCCAACTCTTGTCTCTCCTTCGACGGGAGCTGCTTGCTCTTGAGAGGAATCTCGAATCGCTGTTGCGCAATATGCTGCTGGTTTCGCTTCTCCAACATATCCTCGCGCATCTGGAACAATTGGTTGCTCCATGGTGTTTTATCCTCGGGAAGCTCGGGCCATTGGAAGGGCTTTGCCAGTTCGACAGTCATGACCTTGAGGGGTTTGGGGCGATACCACGAGCGCGAGTGGGAGTTGCGCTGGGTTAAAGGTTGCTGCTTGACGTATGATCGGACCTTTGTGACCTCGACATTGTATAGGTTCCAGAGGTAATCTCGGAGATCGAACTTTGTGAATCGCAGAGGGACCTGGAAAGTGGCCTCGTTTGGTGGGAGGTGATCTTTTCGAAGAAAGGTGATTACATGGTTTGGCCTAGAGATAGTTAGAATTGGTAGGTTGAGATGGATCAAAGGTACTCACAGAAAAACCTGCTTCTGACCCAGCTTGAAGCCGGGCAATTGGCGAGCTACAGTCTTTGCTACCTCGGCCATGGTTGTCGTCTTGCCCTTTCAAAAGTGGTCGGCGACAGTTGGTTTGGGATGTGAAGAAATTCGATGACTGGCTCTGATTGGCTTCAGCGGCGAAAGTGAACTTCCGGGAGGGGTGCGAGGATTGGCGACATTATAGGTGCACGCCCCGCATCCAGCAGTGTAAGAAGGTGAATATCATTTCCCTTCACAAGGCAATATTCGTGACTGGAATAAAACATCAAATATTTTTCACCAAAAGAGGCTCCTTAGCACTTTTAGTATCTTCCTAGCTATTTGTTATAGCATATTAAGCATGAAAATATTGACCTGGGCGGAAGTGACATCTCCCAAACTCAGCTGTCTCACGGGTACTCGCACTGCAACAATTACTCCTTCTCACCAACACAAACCGAAGCCTATTCTTTCTCTCCACAACAAAAACAGAACAACAAGAACATCCATCTTCAGAGCCGCACTCATGCCCCATAAACACCAGAAATGCAACAACGCACCAAGTCAAAGCGTTCTTTGAGTCCGACGACTCGGGTCTCACCTCGTAAGAGACTCAACTATGATGCAGACACTCCCAAGATGTCGAGTCCTACAAGCTACGATGAAGATGTTCAGCTCAGTTTCCTGACAATCGACGAAGAAGATGAAGAAGAAGTTACTTGTTCTAACACCATGGAAGAGTTGATGAAGCTGGAAAAGGAGCGATATCCTGGCGCCAGTACCTGGGCTCCCGCGGAAGAGCGACTCTTTGAGATATTGTACATGCGACAGGATCTACCCATGCTTCCTACAACGTGGGACGTCGATCTACGAGGAGTACCCATCTCAGATATTGTCTTCCAAACTTCGGATGAGTTTCCGCCTATCATCTATGCTCGCTCAAATGACTTTCGAGGTATGTTTATCCTAAATGTTATGGAGTGCATTGCTCATTGTTTGTAGCAACAACCGCCCTTCTTCGTCTCATGGACCTCACAGCAAAGACCAGGACAACCATTCAGAGTGGTCTTCGGATGAAAGTACCGCAGCTCATCAAACGAGAGCTCGACAAGTATTTGAGCTGGGCAGCACAGGACGGCGACTACCTGCATCTACGCATTGTTCCGAACATCCTGACAGAAATTGTAGACACGAAAATGCCGGAAGATAAGATCACTGAACACATCCAGAGCCGCATGAGAGCTCTCGCAAAGGTTCAGCGCGAGTTTCTCCGAGAGGATAGAAACCCCCAGTTCTGGGATGTTATCAAGCCCAGTGTCTTCGCATCTCCGCAAATCAAACTTGAGCCAGATGATGGACTTGCATCGTTCGGGGGATGGCTGACACCTGCTGAGAGCCGGCTCGGCTCACATCCTCGAGTTGGAAACGTATTGCCAACCACCGAAACTCATGGAATCATTGTCAAGATTGAACCTGGACTTAAGAGCCCCGGTATCGCGGCAAGAGTACTCCCCAAGACAAAGATGCTTTCGAGGGAGTCATGCCATTCACAGTCCCCATCGCCCTCTCTACCCGAAGAACCCCAGACCCCCCCTCGATACACCTACCGTCGTCACCCTCCCGTGGTATACGGCCTGTTCATTATTAATACCTGGGTTCTTGTTCTTACAGTCGATTCATCCAAAGGGTCCGACGCCCATGTCAGTTTTCAAGTCCAAGTCGATTTCAAAGATGAACACCAGGGGATCTGGAATGCCCTGACTATCGCTATTGCCGTGTGCCTTGCTCGTGATGAGCTACGTACTCGTGCGAGCGACTTTGAGGAGTTGCCTTGCGTGGAAGATAGTGATCCGGATGCTTGATTTGCAGGATATTTCAATGATTATGACGCTTATTACGAAGGAAGGAATACCATAGTGCATGTTTCACTACTGTTTGTTGCTAAATGGGCTTTGAAGTTGTGTTTTATACCCCTGATTTTATGAACGAGTGTTGACCTGAAGTTTCGTTGTTGTTATCATGAGGTTTTCATGTACCAATTATTGAGTCCTCGACGACGCCATTCACCTTATCGGAGAATTGCTCGAGTCGTTGAACCAGTCATTAAGCAATTTGCCCTATTTGAAAGTCATAGTTGTTAAGTCAACAGAGAGCTTCTATGCCTCATGCTCTCATTTCTATTCATGTCCTGATGTGTCTGATCAGTCATTCCCTTCTATTCCCAACGCCCAACAATGACGGCCGTCCACAGCCCCAAACGTCTCTTTCTATCTGTACATAAATGTCCATTGCATTTCATCTCATAGAGTTCGCCTCTCTAATGCGTGAGTTATACAGGGGTGGGGGTGAAGCGGGGAGGAAACTTTTTTGCGACCGCGCGTGAATAAATGTTTTTAAAATCATAGCAAGCAAGGTAGTTAACGACAAGGTGAGAACAAGGTGTATGTGTATGTGTATGTGTATGTGCGGAGATTTTTACATTTCTTCTCGTTCGACGGGCATCAGAACCTCAAGCTGTCGGAGGAGTCGCTGGTACAAGAACAGCATGCAGCCACTCTGGATGAATGTCCATACTCCTCGGGGTCCGACACCGCGGAACCATCCTGCAACGCCTTCTGTACGGTATATGACCCGTAGTCCTGTGAAGACGGAGGAGGTGTCGAGAGCAATGGCGCCAGGTCGTGGCCGATGTGTGCTGGGAGAAGAGGTGGAAATGTGTCGAACTTGTGAGTTGGCATGATGGTCTTTGGGATGCCGGGACTCTGTTGGTGTGTTGACTTGAGTCTGAAGTCGTGTCTTGACAACGTCGAGGGGACAGGTGATAACACCGGCAAGACCACCAGCTGCAGCACCAGTGAGAAGCTCTAGGGAAACTCCGATATCACGGCTCTGCTTGTATTTGCGAGCCCAAGTAGTGAACTGTTCCCAGAACATGAACTGCAGAGCTGAGAATGGCAGATCACGGTAGAGAGTGGCCTTGTAACCGTAGAACAAGGCGGAGGCGCCTTCTGCGCGCACAATGGTTCGGGCAGCGTCGATAGTACCGCGGTAGTTGTAGCCGGAGGTGAAATGGGGGTTGTTGTAACGACCCTGAAGCTGGAGGCGTGTCTTGAGAACTTCTGAGGGGACGTAGACAATAGATGCTGCGAGATCTCCAAGGAAACCTACGAGTTTGTTAGTGCTTGTACTGCTGCTGGATCTCATTGGGGTGCCATACCTGCTGTGAGGTATGAAATATGCTGTTGCACGCCGTGGTCTATCAAGAATCGCTTGCTCCATTCATATGTACCGAAGAACATGACCGTTCCTGGAAATGAACCTCCAAGCGCAGGAATCCACCCACCATAGAGACCCCGTCTTATACCCTCCTGTCTCCATATCGTGTAGTAGGACTGTCCTAGCGACGTGTATCTTGAAGGAATGTGGGGATCGCCCTGTTGTCTCGTCTTAACAGTGTCGAGTGAGTGCATGAGTAGATCGCCTGTAGATCCTCCAATACCACCCGCGATCATGGCCTGTCGTGGGGTCCCATGTTAGCGCACCTGGAAACGAATAGGTCGAAAACGCTTGGCGATGCAAACACAGCACCCTGGTAGTTTCTGACGTACATGAAGATACGGTGGTCGCCCCTCGGCCTCGACATCTTGTGCGGTCATGTTCTGGTCACTGGTCTTGCTTCTACTACTTTCCGAGCGACGACCCGTCCAAGCAGCATGACGATGCTCGGGGGATGGCGCAAAATCGCTCGCCGCACTCGTTGATCCGTCGTTCGTCGTCGTCGATTGAGCGAAGACGAGGTCAGAATCTTGTTGTTGAAGATCCAAGGGCATAATCCGGGTGAAGCAAGAGATCGAACTCGGATCGGAGGAGACGGTTGAGCGAGTCGAGTCGGTGACGGCACAAGGCGGAAGACTTCGGAAGCAAAAAAAAGGAAGACAAGAGGATCCCCAAGAAAGAGAGAAGAACAAGTATTAAAGAGGGATCGCTCTGTCGCGATGTTTCGTCGTTGGCGAGTGGGCGGGTGTCGCAGGGTCGCAAAGAATAGATAAGAGCCGAGAGTCTGGGCGATGTCGTTTATGAGAATTTTGATGAAGGAACCCGGTCTTGGCTTTTTACTGGGTTAACTAATCGCGAATTGCGGCTCTAGTTGGCTCTGCTCAGCGGTTTCTTAGTGGCCGATCAGGGACCGCACCTGGATTTACAGCGCATGTATCCGTACTTTACCTTGTAAAGACTGAGAGCACCCGACGCTAACTACGTCAATGGAAGAATGCCCGATGAAAGAATTTGTTGAAATGACCGAACGGGCTTTCGGTCTGTTATCTTATCTCACCTCATCATACGCCACTTCTGCCCGCCTCAGGTAATTCATAGTGAGTCTTCAGTGAGATCGTATGAGAATAAAGTCTTTCGTATGGCTATTCATTGAACGGGAAACTAATTGCAAAATCGATTTGATCATAAGGTCTATACATGTCTTCATGAGTTCCGTTTGGTACATATAATACATCTCATCTCATATCCTACTCCATCAATGGCCTCTGGTGATCCCTCCATGGAAGAGCTCCAAACTTGCGAAAAGGAAACACAATATGAGTAACCCGCCCTGTAATCAACTGCTTAGATACGGGTCCGTACGTATTGCTATCCAGACTCGATCCAGGCGGTCCATCACCCTCAACCCACACGTGCCCCTGCGGGACTCTCACTGTCGGCAGAGGATGAGGCGCTTTTGTCTTGATAACATCGTTCTCCAGTGCCACTACGCGCTTGACTGCGATTGTCTCGGGATGTAGCGGACTCCTTTTATAACTTTCATGTTAATTCTCATCAATTGCTTATTTCCAGGCTTTTGGGAAGGGTCTGCTCGTACCGTAATGTCACGACCATGCCACGCTCTAGATTCTCTTGAGGAGACCACTTCCAGTTGAGAATCACATCTCGTCGTAAAGTCGAGTCCTTGTCGTCGTTAATCAACGGATACATAGATGCGCCGTCAACAAAAGTCAGCTCTGCAACGTGCAGGTTGAACATGGCGATGACTGGGATCCATGTTGCGAATCCAAAGA